AAAAAAAAAAAAAAAAAAAAAAAAAAAAAAAAAAAAAAAAAAAAAAAAAAAAAAAAAAACTTATAAAAGGCGTCTCAAACACATTTACTAAATTTTCAATTGGTAATAATGAATATTTGAATTTTTTATTACTTTATTCGAAATTATAACGTGTTAGGTTTAAATATATTAATACATTTAATGTAATTTAAATTTAACTGCATTAAAAAACAAAACTTCAAATTTTAAAAGATTAAAATACGAAAATTCGAATAAAAAAGAATAATGCTTTAATATTAATAAAAAAGGATAATATAAACAATTTGTTATGTGAGGTTTCTCTGACAAGGGCGGAAAATTCTGAAACTCTGGCACCTTCCCTAAAATACGAAGAGAATAAAATGACGATAGTGCCCTTGGAATGGTTATTTTATTTGGTGAATTACAAAAGCCGAGGTGACCCGTCGATGCTGAATTTTCCTTTATCTTTCGTAATTAAGTGGCGTTCGCCTAAATTCACTACATATTGGGTACTTTTGACATTTTGCACAGATATATAATTAAACTCCAAATCTCAAATTAATAATTATTTCCATACCAATCTAAGACTAAATTAAGTATAGCAATTAATTTAAATATATTTAAGTTTTCTGTTTTTAAATTGAATTACTTCAAAATATAAAGTTGTATTTTATCGAATATAGTTCATCTCTTAACTCGGGATCTTCAATTTTTATATTCCACCATAAATTCATGCAATTATGTTACCTCGACCTCTTAAAATGTCACAAATTAATTAATTTAGGGAATATCTATTAAAAAAATATAAATTAATTCACTGGTAAAAAAAGTTAAAAAATTTAATTGATATAGTTACATGTTACGCATGAAATTGGAGCTTGGAGTTGACGGTTGACCGTTTCCATCAGCATAGCTTCCTCGACGCGGAAGGAGGTGGGCCCAGTCTTGATGAGAAAATTCATTAAATGTTTGACATAGAATTAAATCCCCTTTCCTTTAATTCAATAAAGGATACCAATCATATTCCAAAAATAATAACAATTAAATATACAAATATTTTTTCTTATTTTTTTCTCAGTCAATGCAACAGATTCCGAATCTGTCAAGTTTTTATATCCGACCGTGGAAATTTAAATTTATTATTTTATTATAATTCGTATCAATTTGACCCAATTATCGTACAGAAATGATTTGGCTTAAATTGACTATGCTTCTATAAACGCGTGGTTGCTTTATTTATATATTTTATAGATATTATACATTTATAAGTGAATCCAATTAAATTAAAACAAATTGACAATAATGTATATAAATATTTGGCTCGTTAATGAGATTATATCACATATGTAATCTTATATCGCCCAAAGTGTTATTATTTTGTAATATCATATAATCTAAATTTTAATTTAAGGACAATCAGATAAACTATTATGTGTTTGAATGTGTTTTTTTTTTTATTTTTATAATGTAATTATGTTTTTTATTAAAAAAAATGTGAAAACACGAAATAAATAAATAATGTTGCTGTCAAATTTTAACTATTTGGATCAAATATTTAACAAATAATTTTTTAAAACAAATAAAATTTAGTGAATTTAAAAATAAAAACAGAATCAAGATTCCAAAAAAGAAAAATGTTAGCGGGCCGGTGATAACAATGGGCCCGTCTACGTGAATCGGTTTGAACCCGGCCCATTTAGATTTTTCGTTCTATACGATTTTTTCCGGAAAACGACGGCCTGAAAAAAAAAAATATATATTTATTTTTTCTGCTCCCAAAAAAGCCCTCCAATTTTTTTTTTTGCACATGGAACTTTGGAAGCTTCAAAACCTTGAGCCTCTGTAATGGCTTCCTCCACTGCCAAGCCCTAGCTTCAACTTTTCTCACTCTCGTTCTTCGTCCTCAATTCTCGGAGAGAATTTTTCGCTTCTGCTTCCGCTTTAATGGATAGGCAAATTTACGGACACGCCGTTCCTTCGACATCTACGAATGGCAGGGCTGCTTTAGCGTCTACTTCTTCGTCTCTGCAACCTGATTACAGTAGCCGAGCAGTACAGGTACTCTTTTCATTTTACTAGTTTATGTATTTATGTTATAATGCTATGAAAACCCTAGTTATCTTAGTTAGGACAGTGGAGAATTCTCCCTTGTTGGTGATTTGATCTTTCTTTCCGGGTGCTACGGTGGCATTTCCAAACTTAACAGTTGCTGTTGAAGGCGTAGAGCATCTTTTACTCAGAATTTCTTAAGTCGTGTATTCAAAATGATTGACATTCTGTCGAACTTTTGAGTTTATAGATTTGATTAATTCATGGTAATTGTATTTGGTTCCTTCTTCTTAAATGATACTTGTCTGACCAGATTGATATTTAAGTAGTCATATATATTGGGCGGTGGACTGATTCTTTCCCTCTTCGAATTATTTTGTTATATTTTCAACTCTAGGAAGCGCTGAAACATCTAGCATCTATTGATCTGATCGAGTTATGCAACGAAGCAAAAGTTGAGCATTGTCGGGCCACAAGAGACTTGAGAAGCTGTGGACGGGATGTTCAGTATGTGTTGAATTCATGTGGGCATGCCTCTCTGTGTGAAGAATGTTGTCAACGTTGTGATACTTGCCCAATATGTAGAGTCCCAGTTCCGAAGAGCAGTGCTAGAACACATCTTCGTCTTTTTTATGAGTGTGTTGAAGCTGCTCTCATTCCCAAGAATTTCAAGGAACAGGCTTCTAAGGAGGAAGATGGGGAGGATAGAATATCTACAGATGTTCAACGCTTGTATTCCTTATTTGATGTTGCGCTGGAAAATAACATGGTTTCTCTAATCTGTCACTGTATCCTTTGCAGTTTGATTATTCTGCTAGCATTTCACGTAGATGTCATCCAGTTCTGATATTGTTGCCTTTTCAACTTACTTCAAAACTTTATGGTTTCTCTATCCCTCTTTATTTTCTTTTGCAGGCGAGGCCTTTAAAAATCACACCCACTTGAAGCAATACCAATTATTCTATTGTTTAAAGTTTGTGATCTCCTTTACAATAAGTTTAGATGTTAGGGATGTTTGTATGGATGAGAGTGCTGTATCAAGTGACCCTGTCATTGCATTTTTGTTGGATGAAGTGGCCGTGAAGGATTGGTGTAAGCGGGCCTCCAGGAACATTATTACAGAACTTCAAGAAATATGTGAGCTAAATCTTGATTTTGATGCATTGCATCTTATTGTGGCCTACGTACTGAATATTTATAATCTTATATGTATATTATGGGTTTCATTTTAGATAACTCTGGTGTAGAGGGAATGAGATCCAGGTTGAGCATACTACTCAAGTTTTCGGTGCACCTTGCTGGCATATCCAATGTGCTTGAAGTGTTGGACTCATCATTTAGAAGTTCTCATTCAGCACAGCTTGAGGACCTGCACAATCTTCATGAGGACATATTGAAGATCAAACAGGTTCACTTAGGAAGTAATGTGGTTATCAATCATCACGCTGTCTTGCTTTTTTCTTAACTATTTTAAAACAGCGTGCCATAGTTCTTGCCTCTTGGCTTCTTTAAATGAAATATTCCCTGGCTTTCAACTAACTGACATGCCCCTTTAGTAGTTGAGGTCACTGATTCCTGATTTATGGCTCATTTAAGTAGTAGATGTACTTTCTGATCAGCTGGAGAGTACTGAATGAAAACATGCTAACTCAATGGATATACTAAGATGTTTTCACACTCAGAAAAAAGGAGAATCTTACCCGAAGTTTCTTTCTCTTTTCTCTCTTTGGTTAAAAGTTAATATCACAGCTTTGTATTCTATAAACTCTATTCACATGATGGAAAAAAATTGAAGTGGACATTCTTTAGTGAGGAAAGAACAAACAAAATTACTGGTTAGAAGGTGGCATTGTCATAATTCATCCTGGATGTTGCACATGGTGATTATCTACTTATCACTCTTCATTTATGTTGGCTGGATAGATGATTCCTATCAAATTTATTTTCATTAGGTATCTTTACTCATATAGAGACTAGATGTTCATCCGTTGAAATTTGGTTGAAGTTTTTATTTTCTTTTTTCATTTATATTATAGGTTTAAAAAACAGATCATGAAGGTAAAATTTGATTATTTTCTCTTAGGTCTCTGTTTTTTCCCCACTTTAAAAGACTTAATGTTTGCAATTCAGTTAATTATAGATCTATAGCTGCTGTAACTACTGTTCCTTTTTCTCAAGATAGTCCTCATGTTAAAATAATTTTTGGTTACGGTTGCTTTTACCAGCATATGGAGATTATGATGTGGTGCATAAGGCATCAGTTTTTGGAGAATGTTAGATCCTGCCATTCTAGCTTCACATCATGGCTTACTGCTGTTCGTGAAAGGAAATCTGCTGCTATCAGGCGATCATGGCCTGATGCTTTGGATGACTCTGCTGATTCCAGTGGACGGGAGGGATCTTTGTTCATCGAGGATGCACTGGAGAATCTTGATATAGAGCAGTGGTACTCCCCAGATGTAGTGGATGGTTTGGAAATTGCATCATTGGCAAATGATGGCACCCCAATTATCTTCAGATCTAAGATTGGTGGGAGTTCTGGATGCTACCCATTTGAAAATCTTCGAGTTGCTGTTGACGTTCTTTTTCTTCGTGGAAGTTCTGATGTATTCGTTGCAAAGAAAGCAATCGTATCCTTCTTATACATCAATTCCATTGCCCATTTAAATTATGAAATTGGCTAAACACATTTCTCTCTTGTTTCTCCTTAATCTATGGTAGCTTTTGTATTACTTGTTTGACCGCCATTGGATGATGCCCGATGAGAAATGGAGACATGTTGTTGAGGATTTTGCAGCCTCTTTTAGCATAACACGGCATTCTGTATTAGAATCTTTTGTCTTTTATCTTCTTGATGATCATACAGATGAAGCTCTGCAGGTAACTTCTGTTTAATGTGTCACCTGGGTTTTCTCCATCATCATTTACTTTCACGTTAGTTTTACTTTACTTCATTGAAATACTCAACAATTATGGTCCAATACCGAGTAACTTTTTAATTTTCGTAAGATATATATTTGATCGGAGAGATTGATGATTGATCTAGAATATCTTACAGTGGCTGTAGTTCAATACTGATTAATTAGCACTGATTCTAGAATTTCAAGTTATTAAGCTAGTTTGAATAGATAATGTAATTTATTGTTAACCACCATGGCCCCTTTGGTCAATAAGGCCATGTAAATAACAAGGGGCTTAGAGTAAATGGATACAAGTTATGGTGGCCAACCACTTAAGATTATTATCTTGCAAGTGTTTTTGACACCTAAATATAGTAGGGTTTGGTAGTTGTCTCATGAGATTAGCCTAATAGGGTTAGGGTGGTTATCTTGCGAGAATAATCTTTGTGCTAATGGTGGAATTGATTACTTTTCTTCCATCTATTTCCTGGAGCACCATGGTAAGACTTAAGTCATTAGCTCAATAAACTGCCCTTGGGAGGTCTGGATATGTTTGTTAGCCCAACTTGTATATTCCAGTGTTTGAAATATTATCAACCTCCTTTAAAGATTACCAAAGCCAGACATGTCCTATAAATTCCTGTCAATAGTATAATCTAGTTACCCTAAAGAATTTTGTGGTTTCGGATTTATAGTAAACCTGTATCTTAACCTTTTCTGTAACATATGAATATGTCTTCTTTACATGTTGAATGCTAACCTGTATATTCCAGTGTTTGAAATATTATCAACCTCCTTGAAAGACTACCAGAGCCAGACATGTCCTATAAATTCCTGTCAATAGTATAATCTAGTTACCCTATAGAATTTTGTGGTTTCGGATTTATAGTAAGCCTGTATCTTAACCTTTTCTGTAACATATGAATATGCCTTCTTTAGATGTTGAATTCTAATTTTTCCTTGCAACATGATATCATGTAGGAAGCTTGCCGTCTTCTTCCAGAGATCTCTGGCCCAGCAACCCATCCTAAGATTGCTCAAGTTTTGTTAGAATGGAAAAATCCTGATACAGCTCTTATGGTTTTGAGGTGGTCAGGACGTGATAGTATGTCAACCTCAGTTTCACTTGTGGAAGCTGTAATTGGTGTCCGGGTGAGAGTGGAATGTGGACTTCTGACGGAAGCATTTATGTATCAGAAAATCCTCTGCAATAAGGTAAGAGACAGGAAAAAGTATGAAGAACGTGAGGACGAGTTTGATAATGCTCAAAGCAAATTTAGAAGGTGGGAGGACTGGGTGAAAATATTGGTGACTGAAATTTGTTTTCTTTGCATCCGTCGAAACTTTGTGGATAGAATGATCGAGTTACCATGGAATTCTGATGAGGAAAAGCATCTCCATAAGTGCTTGATGGAGTGGTCCACTGCTAATCCATCAACCACTATTGGAAGTCTCCTCTTTGTGTACTATCTTCAGGTAATCTCTAATCCCACTAGAGTTCATTATGCAAGGAATAGGAGGAACTAGATAAGGAGTATAAAAAAGAGTAATGCAAACTTGCCAAACTATTTGATTTTGTTTAAGTTCTTTCCCTTGCTACCGTTGTATGTTCAGCAGTTTCTTTCCAACTAAAGTGCTGAAGAGATTGCTTTATTTGCATTACTCCAAATAAGGTTATCTCCTCTTAATGGTTTAGTTGACAGGAAAACACCTTGTTGAGATTAGCCGTTAATATCTTACATTTTTGTATCTATCAGACATGTTTTAAAGTATATTTACATCATTAAAACCTTTTGTTCTAGTTGAGTCACTTTTAATTCTAGCATCTTTGGTTTGGATATAAAACATGCATACATGCTAAATTGTCCTTTTGAGATATCACGAGTACTTTCTCTATCTTCTTTCAGAGGTTTCGATATCATGAGGCCTACCAAGTGAACCTCTTACTTCAGAAAGCAGAACAAGGCTATATTTCTGAGAGTTCTGTTGTTGAAGAGGTTTTATCTAGAATGAGATCGACTAGTCACTGGCGAGCAGGATTGGTTGTAAGTTATCTGAACCTTTTTTTTTTTTTTTTTTTTTTTTTGGTGATGGGCTAAAGGCATGTTCTTTGAAAAAACATTTTTACTTTTAATCTAAATGCCAGGATTTTCTGGTTACAATGGGTTCTGAATTGTTGTATGCAACCAGACAGGTAGATTGAATTGCCAAATAATTATAATTTATAGGTTAAACTTTGGTCCAAGATTTATTCTTAGGATACTTTATGGGTTTGCGATTCATGGTTGTCTTTGTCAATTCATTATGTTTAGTTTTTTTTTTTTTTTTGTTTCTTTAAAGTTTTTAATTTTAAATTTTATTGCCTCAAATAAACAGGATAAATTCATGGAGTTGCTACCAGAAGCTCAACAGCTGGAAATAAAGTCCAGGAAGTCGCCTAATGTTGGTGTTAATTCTGAAGAAGTAGATGTGCCACGAGATGCAGATCTATCTGGGGTCCAGGAGCAGAGCTTAAGCAGTATATTGATCCCCTCAGCCGTGAATTCTACTGTATTACAGAGAAACGACAGTAAATTTATCGTTAAACCCCCAGTTTTTGACACTCCAGGAAGACTAGGTGGGACATTCAATCATTCCAAAATTGCGACCTTTGGCTCACCATCAGTTCATATAAGGCTTTTTGCTAGTAAGGAAAGAGTGCCAAAGATACAAAATAACCTACATAAGAGTTCCAATTTTCAGGACATGTTTGGTTCTGGATTCCCAGTTGCTATGAATATTTCCCCCTCAGAAGAAGACACTAGAAGTTCATCTAGGGTCCTTCCAAATAGTCAACACTTCGAGAACGATCCTGAGAAACTCGCACTGGATAAAGAGCCAAATGGAATTACTAACCAAGTTCGGAATACATCTCCATATTCCCGTAGGATTACTGCTAACCCTATTTATAATACACCCAGCAGCAAGTTTGGTTTATTAGATGTTCCTTCAAGGGGAGTGCAGGAAAATGGATCTAGTAAAAATGCAGTGTCTGCTAGAGATAATGGAACTTGGAACATCCATTCCATAGATGACCCAATGGAAATTTCAAGGTAAGGAACTCACCATTTTCATTCCCCACTGCCTGTTTTATTTTCTTTTCATTGTTGTTGTTTATATTCTTTTCTAAAAAATGCAGCCATGGAGGACAAGATTCTGCAGCAGATGTTCAATATATGAATGGCGCCCCAAGATGGAGGTCTGATGAAGCTAGCGACGAGGAAGAGCCAAATCTTGACAGAGGTCCTAGAATGGTACGTGACAAAGCTACCCTAAGTGGCACTAGAAGATCAAGGTTTACCAAGAGATAATGACCGTTCTTGTACATCTAAAAACTCGAGATAATAATGCATTTTATGCCACACGGGTAGCTTGGAATGGGTCAGAAGAGCATGAGAGTTGCAAAACCTTACCGGCTCCCTCTTGGTTAAGAGGACGCAGTGCTTAAAGTGTTGCTGCTTCCATGAGAGATTGGAATAATCAATCTGAAAGCCGGTAGTCCATTGAGGTGGCTGCTTCTATTTTTGTATGTCAAATGTTAATAAATTTTTATAGGTTGATAGGTTTGAATGACGAAAGATCGGTGCTTTTAAGTAGTGGAAATTTGAAAGCAGGCCGTAGGATTTGATTTTAGTTAGAAACTCAAGTTTTCAGCAGGTGAGATTGTTTGAAAGTATTTCTTGTAATGGCTCTTTTTTCAAAGCGATTGTTGATTAAAAAAAAAAAAAAAAAAAAAAAACTAATTTAAGTGAGGTAAGAGTAAGAACTCACTCAGTTTTTTATTTCCTACCAAAATTAATTGCAATTTAAATTATAATGAATTAGATATATAATACTAATATCAAAATAATTGAAATGATATTTATACCATGGCCCATTCCAAAAGGCCCATTATCGAAGCGAGGTGGCAGAACGACACGTGGCATTGGCGATCTTCTCCATCTTGCTCCGGCTTCGACATTCCCAGTTGCAGATATGTTCGAAGGGAGGGAGAGAGGTCATGAATACTTTCGGTTCTAACAGATCAAAGATCAAGCAATGGTACGCAATGAAATCCAATTCACAGTTCCGTTTCTCTCGTTTTTCTGTCTGTTCTCGCTCTACTCTTCTCTTTTCTCTTTCTCCTCTACCTGTTCTCTTCTTCCTCTTCTTCTTTTATCTCTTCGACTGCATTCTCGACTTCTAATTCGCGCCAATGCAACTCACGGATCTTGGACCTGGGCGAGAGATTTCTGTTTTACGCGCCTCATAGTGGGTTTAACAACCAGCTATCTGAGTTCAAGAATGCAATTCTGATGGCCGGGATTCTCAACCGGACTCTGGTTATTCCGCCGATTTTGGATCACCATGCCGTAGCTCTCGGGAGTTGTCCGAAATTCAGAGTTCTGGATCCTGGGGAGATTCGGTTTTCGGTTTGGGAGCATATGTTCGAGCTTCTTCGAGATGGAAGGTAAGCATTTTTCCCTTCGTTTGAGACTTCTTGGTTTTCGATGTCTTAAATTTTCTTGAAATGACGAGGGTTCCGATGGTTGGGTTGCTAGATTGTTTATTTTATTCCATCTACATTGCTTCTAAATCAAGTAATTGAACCGTTATGCTTTATTGGAGTTTTGCCATAAATGAAATTTAATATTTATGACCTCCCTACAGCCCTGGGAATTAAAGCCTTTTACCTCATAATCTTGGAGTCATCTACTCTGATTTAACATATTTTGTCGTCTCTTTAACAATTTACCAACAGACAATCGTCTTTTGTGGCAAACTTTAAATTGGATGCAACTCTGGCTATTGTTTACTTTTCCATTAATTTCTTCTGTGATTGATTTAACAAGGAGATGAAAAAAAGCGATGCTGCATGTAATAGTTTATGACATTAGCCATGTATTTCAATGTCGTGGCAGGTACGTTTCAATGGCGGATATTGTAGATATTTCGTCATTAGCTTCTTATACTTCTATTAAAGCCATAGATTTTAGGACCTTTGCATACTTATGGTGTGGGATGGATCTGGAAAGTGTCATCATATAAATATGATGACACTCAATAAATATTAATTCTTCTAAAGTTAGATAGAAAAGATAAAAGACGTATAGTTAACCATTATCTCTTTGTAAAATTGGAGAATATGCCATTTTAGGAAAAAGCGAAGTATTTACTGAATTATTATTAAAAAAAAAACTCAATTATTATTTATATACAATACACCAACAAATCAAACTTTTAAAAATTGAATTTAGATCATTATTCTAAACCCTGAAAAGTTCTCAATATTTTAATCAGTTATAATTGTTGACTTTTTGAATTATTATAAAACAAAATTTCCGACCATTTTAAATCCAAACTAGATATGGATTGAGGAGAAGAAGATGAGAAAAAGAGGGGAAAAAATATGATAGAGATGGATGAATCCGTAAATAGGGATATTGATATGAACACGAGTTTAAAATGCGAAAAGTAAGCAAAGATAATTTTGAGAAAGAAAAGGAGAGGAAATTCAAAACAAACTCTTCATTGGGAAACACAACGACCGACAGACGAGTGGATCGGAAGATCACCCTTTCTCCTTTTTCTGAGGGGATATTGTTCGATTAATTCTCCTTTAAATACCCGCAACCTCCATTCAACTTCCCAGAGATTTCAAGCGCCTTCCCGTTTTTTGAAAGCGTTCTTTCAGGTTTTTCCGATTTGGGGTTTCCGATTTCCCCGCAAAGAAGGTCTTTTCTGGAGTTGGATTTCGAATTCGTTCCGACGAACAAATGGAGGGCGTCGATCATCTTGCCCATGAGAGGAACAGGTCCCAATTCGACGTCGATGCGATGAAGATCGTATGGGCGGGTTCTCGTCATGCCTTTGAAGTATCCGATCGAATGTCTCGATTGGTTGCTAATGACCCAGTGAGTAATTTCTTTGCCACACTCCAAATCCAGACATTGTACCGGCTAAGATTTATAATTGATGCTTTGAGTTTGTGTTTGTTTTTGGTGTTAAGGCCTTTCGAAAGGATAACAGGGCTCAATTACCAAGGAAGGAGCTGTTTAAGAACACGCTCAGAAAAACTGCTTATGCATGGAAGAAGATTGTTGAGCTTAAGCTTTCTGGTACAGCTATTTCATTCAATCTCTTTCTATGGAAAATCCTGGATTGTATTGATTGTATTCCTTATTTTTCGTTAACAGAGGAGGAAGCTGCTAGATTAAGGTTCTTTGTGGATGAGCCAGCATATACAGATCTTCACTGGGTGAGTTGAGTTTATTCTTTTTGTTGGCATTACAAACAACACTTATGCTGAATTTTTGGCTGTTTGAACAACTCTATGGATAAATACTGGTCTCCATCATCTTACCTTTCAAGGTTTTGAAATTACTTTAATGTATCTCTCTTTTTTAGGGAATGTTTGTTCCATTTGTGAAAGGGCAAGGAACTGAGGAGCAGCTACAGAAGTGGTTGCCATTGGCTTATAAAATGAAAATAATTGGTTGCTATGCTCAAACCGAACTCGGTCATGGTTCGAATGTTCAAGGGCTCGAAACAACTGCAACGTTTGATCCAAAGACTGATGAATTTGTTATTCATAGTCCTACACTCACCTCAAGCAAAGTAAGTACAATGGTAGTTATATATTCAGGTTCTATATTAGTTACCTGTATTGGGTTGGTTCTGTGTAAAACTTTGTATTGGATTTGGTTCCTCTAGTCTCGGGGTGTAAAATTGAACGGTTTAAATTGATGTTGAAGAAAAATTTAAATTTACTGTAGTTTGTTGGATCTTTTTGGGTTGATACCCACATTCAGGTTCTATGTGAATGTGTTGCATTCTATGTCTCTTAATTTTGTTCCTTCTTTCTTGTGAACAGTGGTGGCCTGGTGGTTTGGGTAAGGTTTCAACACATGCTGTTGTATTTGCTCGTCTTATCACGAACGGTCAAGACTATGGAGTGCACGGTATGCGAACTATGATTGCTTTCAATCCTCTGATTCTTGATCCTGATATGTCTAGTCAAATAAGAAAGCTTCCATTTTGTAGGTTTCATAGTTCAGATAAGGAGTTTGGAAGATCACTCAGTTCTACCTGGCATAACCATTGGAGACATTGGTATGAAATTTGGGAACGGAGCGTACAATACTATGGATAATGGGGTCATGCATTTTGATCACTTCCGAATCCCGAGGAACCAACTGTTGATGAGGTTATTTCTATTCTGTATGTTCGTTAGCTATTTCTATTCATTTTCTTTGTCAATTGTCCCTTCTAAAGTTGGTTTTTAACTTCACAGGTTTTCTCAAGTTACAAGGGAAGGGAAATATGTGCAATCAGATGTTCCACGGCAACTAGTTTATGGCACTATGGTATATGTTAGAAAGACGATTGTAATTGATGCTTCAAATGCCTTGTCACGTGCCGTCTGTATTGCTACTAGGTACAGTGCTGTTCGTAGACAATTTGGATCACAGAATGGTGTGGAAACCCAGGTATGAGTTTATGATCCTATTAGAAGCAAAACCTAAAAGACATAGCCTCAAAGGCACGATTTCGCATTCTACATTGGTGCTGAATAATGTGATTATCATTTGTTTGTTTTTATAGGTGATCGATTATAAAACACAGCAAAGTAGGCTATTCCCTTTGCTGGCTTCTGCCTATGCTTTTAGATTTGTTGGTGAGTGGTTAGAATGGCTATATACGGATGTGACTCAGAGACTGGGAGCCAGCGATTTCTCGACACTGCCTGAGGCTCATGCATGCACTGCAGGGTTGAAGTCTGTCACAACTGCTGCAACTGCTGTGAGTATCTTTTTCGATTTCATTAGCTTGATCATCTTTATGTTTAACAGAAGTTTTAATCAATCTATTTCTTCTGATTTAACTAGCTATGCTAATATGGTGTTCCTGATTTAACAATTTAATAACATAAAACCCTTGTCATCTCTTGGGTCTGAGTTGCCTCGAGAGGAATAACGGGGTAGCCATGATTATATAGTCAAGCACACGGGTGTTTTTCTTTCAGCCTTAACTTTTAATTGTAAATGCAGGATGCGATTGAGGAGTGCCGGAAGTTGTGCGGTGGCCATGGTTACCTTTGTAGCAGTGGGCTTCCCGAGTTGTTTGCAGTTTATGTCCCTGCCTGTACTTATGAGGGAGACAATGTTGTGCTACTATTGCAGGTGTGGGTTAAGTTTTCAAGTGAAGTTATGATTATGACTTAGTTTTAAAGTTCTCAACATACATCTGCTAACCTGCTTTGATATAGGTTGCACGATTTCTTGTCAAGACCGTGTCCCAGTTGGTGTCTGGGAAGAAGCCTATTGGTACAACAGCTTACATGGGACGGCTACAACATCTGATGGAATCGTCTTGCAAAGTTCAGAAAGGTATTTGTTAAAAATGAGAAACATTTCTGTCCCGCATAAAGATCAGAATAAACTGATTGATACGACAGCCTCGGCCAATTTGTGTGTTCGAATTGGGGTTCTCAGTTCCTTATTGGGACTGAGATGGTGGTTTGGAGCTGAATTTTTCAAGACTTGTTTTTATTGATGTTCTTGTCAATTCTGATGCTCTGCAGCTGAGGATTGGTTAAACCCAAGCATCGTTCTTGAGGCATTTGAAGCAAGGTCAGCTAAGATGTCTGTGGAATGTGCCAAAAGACTGAGCAAGTTTACCAATCAAGAAGAAGGTATGTCTACTCCTACTTATGGTTCTCTTTGGGCTTTTTCTTCTAGACTTCTCCTCAAGGTTGGAAGGTTTTAAAATGCGTCTACTAGGGAGAGGTTTCTACACCCTTACAAAAAATGTTTCGTTCTCCTCCCCGACCTTTGTGGAATCTCACAATTCACCCCCCTTCTCCCCTTTTGAGCCCAGTGTTCTCGCTGACATTCGTTCCCTTCTCTAATCGATGTGGGACCACCCAATCCTCCCTCTTTGGGAGCCCAGCACCTTTGCTGGCACATCGCCTCATGTCCACCCCCTCGGGGATCAGTCTCTTCGCTGGCATATCGTCCCGTGTCTGGCTTTGATATCATTTATAATAGCCCCAGCCCACCGCTAGCAGATATTGTCCTCTTTGGGCTTTCCCTTTCGAGCTTCCCCTCAAGGTTTTAAAATGCATCTACTAGGGAGAGATTTCCACACTCTTATAAAGAATGCTTCGTTCTCCTCCTCAACCGATGTGGAATCTCACACAAAATTTCCTTTCGTTTCGGCGCTCTTTGACCAATTTTCACGTGCATCTTTAGATTATCACTGAGTTGTCCACACATGGCAATGCTGATTTCTTTTCCTAATCTTTTCAATATTTTCATAATTGTCCTTTGTCATACTTGCAGGTTTTCAGGAACTTTCTCCTAATTTAGTTGAGGCTGCAGTTGCACATTGCCAATTAATTATTGTTTCCAAGTAAGTTTCTTCCTCGTTAGATTCATCAATCCTTGAAAGCTTGATTGTTTAGACTGATATTTTAAATCCAAAACTATGTTAAGCAGTGATATTCCATTGCTGATTGTTTCAAAAATCTTTTTTCAGGTTCATCGAGAAACTTAAGGGAGACATACCAGGAAAGGGAGTAAAAGAGCAACTGCAGAAGCTTTGCAGTATTTATGCTTTGTATACACTACACAAACACATGGGTGATTTTCTTTCCACTTCCACCATCACTCCCAAACAGGCATTTCTTGCTGATGATCAACTTAGATCTCTATACTCCCAGGTTTTTGAACTCAAGCACATCTCCCTCTTGACCTTCTAATTTTTGAAGAAAAGCCGTCTTCTAACCCGACTTTGGAATTCTCTTTTGTAGGTTCGTCCAAATGCAGTTGCTTTAGTCGATGCATTTAACTACACCGACCATTACCTTGGCTCGATCCTTGGTCGTTATGATGGGAATGTTTACCCAAATCTCTACAATGAGGCATGGAAGGAACCTCTAAATGACTCCGCCTTGCCTGATGGCTACCATGAATACATTAGACCATTGCTTAAGCAGCAGCTCAGAAATGCGAGGCTATGAAGAATAGGGATGGTATAACAAAACGTAATGCTCTAGATTATTTGTAATAAATCATGGATTCAGCTTGGGATTTTTATGTTACAGTTTGAACTCGCATTTTATTATGACGAACAAGTTCTATTAAATTTAAGTTTTCTCTATGAATGAAGAATAAAAGTTTTGAAGTTTCATATGGATAGTTGTAGTCGCCATTTCGGTTGTTATTATAGGTTTCTTGTTATTGTCTCTCCCCCTGAAAACCTTCTGTCCCCTCTTCAATCGATGTGAGATCTCACAATTCATCCTTCCTTTGGGGCCCCAACGTTCTCGTTGATATACCACCCGATGACTAACCGTGATACCATTTGTAACAGCTTAAACCCCAACCCCCAACCGATATTGTCCTCTTTGGGCTTTCCTTTGTACTCTTTGGGCTTTCCTTCCCACAAGGTTTTTTTTTACAAATATATTCATGAGCTTAAGCCCACTTGAAATGGGCCATAGGGTTGAATAGACCTTATTTTGGGACAGTCCAAAAATATATCTTCTTCCCACCTTTCTATTGCCCCAAACTTAGAGATAAAAATGGAAATTTTATGTTATTTTTTCCTTTCTTTTTGTGTGTCCCAACCTCTCCCATTGCAAACAGCACCCACCAAGTTCTTCATTGCTATCAATCTTCCAACCCCATCATTACATAACCATATCATGAGTCTTTTAAACTTGTGAATCTTAAATTTAATCGGTTCATACACAAATATTGAAATAAAGCTTCCTCCTTTGGTGTTGTTTAGTATAATATACGAAGAATGTTAAAGCTAAAGGGAGGGGAGGGGAAGGAAAGTACTTCAAACTCAAAAAAAAAACATCAAAAAAAGAAAAGAAAAGAAAAGAAGGAAAAGTAAAAAAAAAAAAGATGTTAACTTTATCGATTTTGTAGCAACAAAAACATCCAATGACACCCCATGAGAGACAAACATAGAGAGATTGAAAGCAAACTGAAAGATCCTCATTCATTCATTCATACATGCATGCTTTACATACATGCATGTATGAATGAATGGGGTTATTAAGTTAAGGCTTTTTTGTAAGTACGGTACTGAAAGCTCGAGCCTTGTGCTGTTTGCAGGGAGAGCGGCAATGGGGAGCAGAAGGAAGGACTTTGCTTCAGATTCCTTTGCCTGCCCCAATCTCACCTAACACTAACCCTAACCCTAACCCTAACCCACACCCTCATTTCCCTCTGTTCTTTTCCTCTCTCAATATTATTATAACCCTTTTTTCTTGTTCCTTTCAATATTCTTTGGATCAAATCCCTTCCCTTTTTATAATAAATTGAGTTAACATGACATCAATGGACACATAGGGATATAGGATTAGGGTTTAGCATTTAGGGATGTTTGACTCTTGGATTTGGGTTTATTTAATGAAGTTTAACTTTGTGTAAATCAATACACATTTTCACCTTTTGTCTGTCAAGTACATTTTTTTGTTTCTTTCGTCTTTAAACGTCGAGTGAAAACCAAACCTACCCGTTGGCACGAGATGTTGAAGTTTATACGAACGATTTGAATGATGGGTTGGAATTATAGGCAAGTTTTTTCATGCATAACACATAATTTAATTACATAATTCATGTATTGACAAAAGGAAATACAATAAAGTTCATGATTCATATCTCAAAAAGTGACTTCTAACAGAAAAAAGCAAGAGCAATATGATAGATCTCTTTTTCCCTTTATAAATTACTATTGACTCCAACATAAAAAATAAAAAAAAAATAAAAATAAAAAAAAGTGACTTTTTTTTAATTTTTGATTCTTAATTGGTTGAACAAGATCCTGTTGCTTTTTTAATTTGGGAATTGGTCTGGTTTAAAGAAATGTAAGAATATTGAAAAAGGTGGTTCCTTTACATGATTTGGGTAGAGAAGAAATATGTTAAATTAGGTGTGTTACCTAGTTTCCATCTTAAGCCAACCCACCAAAACCAAAAGGATAAAAATCGAAACTTTTAAAAATCTTGTCTTCAACGTTTATTTCTTGAAATGGGTTTGTTTTTTTGATAGTTCAAAATTTGAATTGGGCACTCAATGGTCTGCAAAAAGGCAAGCAATTTGCTTTCCAAATCATTCAGGAAGTGTCCACAACAAAGCAGAAGCGGCAGCAGCAGCAGCAGCAGCAGCACCGCACAGCACAGCAAAGGACTCTCCCTTCACGCCTTAGCGGTTTGCAGATGGAGAAAGAGAAAGGGTTTGCATTTTCTAGGGAAAAGGGCTCTCTGCTAACACTTTACCAGCGTCGATGGCGATGGTTTCTGAATTCCCCAAAACAGGAAAAAGGAAAAGGGTTTTTTGGGTTATCAAAATTGAAACATATGGAATTCAAAGGAACCATCTTTTTCATCAACAAATTCCCTTACAGAGAAACGAAATGAAATGAAATGAACTATATTGTATGTAACCAAAAGCTTAGAATGAGAGTTCGAAAGATTGTAACCAAATTAGTTAACACAATAAATAAGCCCAAACGAAATGGGTATGGAGGAAAGGACAAAGGTGGCCTAAAGGGCTCCTCTGCCTTCTGATATCGTTTTTGCTGACTTAAATACGTATCTGTCTCTGTGTAAGAAGAGGGAGAATGAGTGGTCAAATCACCCAACAAATTCAAACCCATTATTATTAATTTATTTATTCCAAACCCTTCAAACTACTTCATCAAACCATATTATATTACACAAGAGTTCATCACGATGATGCCATAAATAAACACAAGAAAAGTTGTGTTGTGTCATGTCTGCTATGTCTTTTCAAACATGTTTTGTAGCAAATCAAGTGAAGTTGTTGTGTTTTAGATTTAGAAAATGAGGGAATTCCATGGAGTTTATGTGAGTACAATGCAAGATAATGAGCACCTTGTAAAAGCTTGGCGCATTGAAGGGTGATGTTCCATTTGGATGATGGCGCTATAATTGAGTTATGATAAGAGAAAAAAGAAGAGATGGGGTTATTTATTGTCCAAGAGTTACTCCAAGAAAGTTATATGTAAATTTGGTTGAAAGGGTTCGGAAATTGAGGGAACTTTAAAGAACACACACAAACACACACACACACACACACACACACACACACACACCACAAGACAACACCCTCTTCAACTTCTGAAAACAACAGGTGAGTGTGTGAAAGCTATCTCACTCCCATGCACACGTCCCTTTCTGGCTCCTTCCCCCCACATCTGCCGCCCCTCTTCAATTCTCGAGATCATCATCATCATCATCGCCATTCACATGCATACATGCATACATGCTTACTTTGAACCATGCTCTCTTATATCTACCAGCTCCAATACATCATCAGTTGTTCATCAGTTCATACCAGTCTAGTCCTTTCTTTCTCTCTCTCTTTTGCTTTGTGTAAACTTTCTTTCAAAACTCATTATCAAAGAAAAAAGGCAGATCCAAGGAAGGTTGTTAATCTGTCAATCCCATCAATCAGTCAACCAAACACGACCAATCATCAATCAAATTTTTATAAAAGAAAAGTTGAAAATACATTCAAATTTGATATGTCATCCTCTTCTTCTCCTACTTCTTCTACTACTACTACTACTACCACTCAGCAGCAGCTGGACCACCACCTTCCCTCACCTGAGCAGCTCTGTTATGTCCATTGTAACATTTGTGACACTGTCCTTGCGGTACCATCTTATTCTCTCATTCTTCTCTTTTACCCTTCTCTTTTCCCTCTTTTCCTCATAAACCTTTCTCCTTTCCTCTTATTTCATCTTTCTCTCTTTTTTGTGTTTTTTCCATCTGGGGTTCCGTTTATTTGGCTTCTTTTGATGATAAATCTGGGAATTTTGTAAATTTATGGCTCACCCTAGCTTGTTTGATCTAATTTTTTTGATGGGTTTTGTTGGGAATCTGTTGATTTTTAGGTCAGTGTTCCTTGTTCTAGCTTGTTCAAAACTGTGACAGTGCGATGTGGGCACTGCACCAATCTGCTGCCTGTGAACATGCGTGGCTTGCTTTTGCCTTCCGCTAATCAGTTTCATCAGCTCGGCCACTCTTTCTTTTCTCCTTCCCATAACATTCTGGTAATTTAAGCATAATTATACTCCCAAAGTTTCATGCTTTGAAGAACCTAACTAACTCTTGTTTTCAATTTCATTCTTGTAGGAAAACATCCCAACGCCAAATTCCAATTATCTCATCAACCAGTTCGCAGCTACTAACACTTTTGGAATGCCATCTCGAGGAGTTGCTGATGAGCTCCCTAGGCCACCAGTCATCAACAGACGTGAGAGATTTAATTATCCTACTTTTCTTTTCTTTTTCCTGATGAAGATTATATTAAACAAAAGATGCAAGGAAACATGAATAAAGTTGCTAATCTTATCCAACTTAGAGAAAGTTAAGCTTTAATAAGCTCTAAATTGACATAAATTATATGCTTATGAAAGTGGGGTGTGTGAAAACATGAAGTTTTGTTTTTAGTATATGATTTGAATGCGCATAAAATTGTACTGTTCAGCTCCGGAGAAGAGACAGAGAGTGCCCTCTGCATACAACCGCTTCATCAAGTGAGTAATGATTTGAAGTCCATTCATATCCATTCATCTCTCTCTCTCTCTCTCTCTCTATCTTTATTACAAGGAAAGATAAAAAATTTGCATGCAGAGACGAGATCCAACGCATCAAGTCAGTGAATCCGGATATATCCCACAGAGAAGCCTTCAGTGCTGCTGCTAAGAATGTAAATACCAACACCCACCAGAAATAAGAACAAAAAAATTGAAACTTTTTTAGGGTTTGCTGAAAAATTGTGTTTTTTTATGTTATATTGGCAGTGGGCACACTTTCCACACATTCACTTTGGTCTCATGCCCGACCAGACAGTGAAGAAGACAAATATCCGGCAGCAGGTAATTTCTTAAAGGAATTTGCATTCTTCTGATTCTCCTTGTGTTTTGGAGAATGGGATGTGTGTGTGTGTGTTTGAACAGTGAAACCAAAGCAGTGTTTTAATGTTTGTAGGAAGGAGATCATGGGAGTGTTGTGATGAAAGACAATGGATTTTACGCCGCCGCCTCACCCAACGTTGGTGTCTCCCATTTCTAAAACAAAACATGTCCCAATGAATGACACTGCTTGCTTTTATCAACCTCTTTTCTTTATGTTTATATATTAAATACTCTCTCTTCCATGTATTTTCCCCTTACCTTCAGACTACTGTTTTAATGTTATGGTTATGCCTATATTTCCCTCTCATCAATGCCTTCTATTCTTGCATTACTTTCCTTCTTTTAAGGTTTTGGATGTCATTATTTGTGTTCTGCTTGCCTTGTTTGACTCATTCTTTGTTCATGCCTTCTCTTGAATGTCATGATTTGTGTTCATGTTTTCAAACTATCGTTGAGTTTCAACTTGTCTTCCCACAAAACCTAACATATTTTTAAGGTTTGGTTTAAGTTTTTTGATTTTGAAAACTAAGTTTATAAACTACTACTTTCACAAATAAATTTCTGTTGTGATATTTTTGTTGGCTAGAAATTTAAATGTTTGTGTGAGATCCAACATCGGTTGAAGAGAGGAACGACATTTTTTATAATGGTATGGAAGCCTCTTCCTAGTAGACACGTTTTAAAATTATGAGGTTGACGACAATATGTAACGGGCCAAAGTAACAATATTTGCTAGAGAGTTTGGGTTGTTACAATATCGATTGGAGAGGGGAGTGAAACATTCTTTATAATGGTATGGAAATCTCTCCCTAGTAGACACGTTTTAAAATTGTGAGGTTGACGGCAATACGTAACGGGCCAAAGTAAACAATATCTGCTAGAGGTGAACTTGGGTTGTTACAAATGGTATCAGAGCCAAACACCGGGCAATGTGCCAACGCTAGGTTCCCAAGGAGGTAGATTGTGAGATTTCACATCTGCTGGAGAGAGGAACGAACCATTCCTTGTAAGGGTGTGGAAACCTCTCCCTAGTAGACGCATTTTAAAACCGTGAGGCTAATGACGATATGTAATGGACCAAAGCAGATAATATCTGCTAGCGGTGAGCTTGGGCTGTTAAAATAGTATCATAGCCAAAAACCAAGCGATATGTCAGTGAAGACGTTAGGTCTCTAAGGGGGGTAGACTGTGAGATCCCACGTCGGTTGGAGAGAAGAACGAATCATTACTTTTAAGAGTGTGAAAGCATTTTAAAACTGTGAGGCTGACGACGATACGTGACGGTCAAAAACGGACAATATTTACTAATAGTTAAAAAAAAAAATTATATATCGACATGAATGAAACAAGCAAACCAAAAGATTAGTATTTGGTTGGAGATTTGGAATAAGAATTTACATCATATTGATGTGGAATGGTACTTGGTTGATGGCTACTGTATTTTCAACACACATAACTATGTGCAGTTCTCAGTTTTTGATTGATCATAAGAGTTCGTTGTATTCAAAATCTGTCAGTGTACTTGTCTCTTTTTTGTAACATATCTCCCACCACTTACCACCACTATTCAACTATAAATATATATATATATATATATACACACACACACAGTTTGTTTAGTTCTTAAGCTGAGAGAGTTGAAGGAAAATGTTAAGAATGTGTGATTGAGGAAGGAAGATCCATTTGGTTTATTAATCTGATGAAGAACTGATACCCACTAAATTGCAAAGTACATCCATCATGATAAGATGCTTCCCTTCCCCAACACAACAAAGTTTGGATTTTGGAGGGAAAACAGAAAGAAAAAGGAGAGTAGAGATCAGGTAACATAACATCCATTCCTCCTGTTTGACATGAATCTTTATATGGCAGATAAGCGTGAGTTGTAAAAGCAGAAAAGCAATTATTGAAAGAAAAAAGGCCTTTCCTCAACCAAAAAAGCAATTATGGTTGTCTTTTGGAGGGTTAGATTAGAACAAGATGAACAACTCTTCAACTACAAATACGACATGGTAGCATGCCACTCTAGCAGTTCCACATTTCAGCTTTCGGTTAAAGCATTTACTTATCAAAAGAAGAGACTGTGAGCGAGTGCATACTCATTTTTCAGAAAAAAAAAGGTCTTTTTTAGCAGTGCCGAGAATGATGATGAAGGAACCAGTGGCATAGGTCTCGGTGATTAGTTTAGATGAGAGAGAGTAGCCCTTTGTGGATCTCTCTCAAAGGAAGAGAAATTTGGGTTTGTATCTGTTTAGTTACTAATCTTTGTTAATACAGCATAATGAAGCAATCCAAGTGTGATGATAAACGACGTGTGAGAAGGCAGTGGTAATGAGAATCGATGAATCGTTATCGGTACAGTTTCGTGTATCATGACTCAAGAATTAAAAGAATGATGAATCCAAATCCAATGAACAAGGAAAACCAAAGATACATCCTTCTACAGCATGCACATGGGAAAGAATGCTATGCAAAAATCATGAAAGACAGGGTATCCACAAGACTTACAGACCAAACTTAACAAGACGCCCGACGACTTTGAAAACTTACGTAACACGAGCAGGCATAGAGCAACGATGCTTAGTGCAAAGCAGAGATTACAGTGGAGATGATTGTTAGCGTAGTGAGTAACATCTTCCACCGATTGCCCATGATCGAAATTGCAGAAGAGATATCTTGTGGCCTGAGTACACATGAAATAAGTAAATAGATATCAGAATCATTCAAGGTTTCAGTTTCCAAGAGATGGGTTAGATATATATGGTTCCTTACTTCTGTAATTTACTAAGTTGACCGCAAAAGAGTGCATTGTCTGGCATAGGTAGTTCAGTTTTGTTGGTAGCCTCAGGATTGACAACCCGAATATACGTCTCTTGCCCGAGATACCACGAGTCAAGATTTTCTGTTCTGATGTTCCAAACTCCCACATTGTCAAGAGATATCAAGATGGCCGTCCATGCTCCAGGATAAACCTAGACCGGGAAACGAACGAGTCAGGGGATGCAACAGAATATGGCAGATATCACATCTGGGCAGGACCATTGAGGTTTGTTTGAGGAGACTGCAGAAGAAACATACCTGAATTGTTGAGCGAGCTATTCCATCCCACTTATTGTACGTGCCCCGGCTATTCTCGGTCCACTCGCCATAGTCCATCCTACATTCATTCCATCACTGAGTGAATACAAAAGTAACCATGGCTCAAGACTCGTGCTCAAAAATATAAATGACAAAACATACCCCACGACAAAGAAGGCGTATCCGTTCATGTGATAGCTCTGCATCTTGGTGTCATTGTTTTGCAATATAACCTCCATAAACCCTCTATATGTTCCATTAATCACTGATGTCTCAGCTTTTGGCGGTCCTGTAAGTGGCCTGGTGGGGAAGTCAAGCTTATAAACACCCTTCAACTTGAATTGGTCAGCCAATCTGATAGGTGTGGATGGATTGACAAACGAAATACCACTCAGTGTAGTTCGTCGTTTGCCATCGATCATCACGGGAGGCTTATTCTTCAAGACATAGATCTCAGTTACATTAATTGAGCCATATCTGAATGATCCTTGAGGGTTGGGACGAGCACCACTAGCAGATACATTCCATCTGCACAATGTGTCAGCCAATTTCTTAGAAAGAAAAAACAACCATGCCAATTCCTCAGACTTGTATGTTCTTCCATAATTTCAAATTTGTTTTGGACAAACCTGATTGATCTCGCCTGATTCATCGAGAAAGTTTTATCAAATTCATCATTTGGAGCTTCTGGAAGGGGGCCTGCTGCCTTTCCTTTGGAGTTAGAGTAATGCAAGATACCAACACCAGTAACTCTTTTCCAAACAGATTCATTGACAAACCGAGCACTAGCTACAATGTAATAATCAGTGCTCGCGTTCTGATCCATGGTTACCAAAAATGAATATGATTGTCCAACGTGTATATCTAAGCTAGTATAGTTCTGCTGCACGGTATACGACCCCTCTGTTTCTGCTAAAAGAAGGTTGTGGTTTTGGATCCTAAAGTTCAGACTGGTAGATATTCCAACATTGTGTACCCGAATGCGGTATGTTTTCCCTGTTCAACATCAGCAGATGATCCATCAATCTTTAAACATATCCACCATAAGCAAGGACTTGCCGACAACGTTAAGGACTATAATAACAGAAATCTAAGCTAACAACTTATTTTCTCAATATCAAGTCGGTCAAACGTATATTCAAGATTGAAGGAACGGTTGGTTAGTTGACATGCACATAATTGACATAATAATAACTCGAGATTGAAGGAACAGTTAGATGCAAGGAACGGTTAGATGCAAGCTCCCCTGTACATGAGGGTGAGCATATTAGAAGTTTTTCTTTGAAATTAATTTCGGCGCACCTCTAAAGAGATTGCCGTGCATGGAGCCTACTGGCTACTACTACCCCACATCAGTTGAAATTTAAGCTAGTAGTCTCATTTTCAAAGCCCCTTAAATGCATCACAAGAATGATTTTCCTTAGGAGAAAACTGAGAAAATAATGCAAGATATTGCTTGAACATGAAGGCGTCCCCAGACCCCACTAGGAGTTAAAGCCCTGCTCGCTCATTGAGTGTCATTCATGTTCATCACCTATAAAGATGGACCCAAACAAAATAGCCTTAGGGATTGCCCTCTCAGGCTTGAACCTATATGGGACATCATCAAGCATCTAAAGTAGAGGTCGACTTCAAGGAAATACAACTTTAAAGTGATTGAATGACATCAGAACATGTTAATACTAGGTTGTAAAGAATGCACAAATTATACCAAATTCATAGTAAGCCCACCATTCTTTTTCTCTTAACCTACTTAGCTGAGGTATTAGAGCTACCTGGATCAACTTCAATTGTTTCGTGCTCGATACCATCGGGGACTAGTGTATCGTTATATCGGTAGGGACCTTTGCCATTAATGAGAACCCCGTGTGGCATTCCAAGATCCTTCCCTCCATCAAGAATTTTTCTCAGAGCCTAAATACAAATCCAAAATGTATCAATAACGAGCACATTACATTCTAATTACAATGCTGCAATTAGCCAGACCAGGCATTTTGTTCCCTTAGCTAACACTAACCGTGTGATTCGAGGTGTACCAATCACCAATCAAAATTGTAATATCCCCATCTGGGGTAGCAAAAGGAATGGGGATTATAGGCCTGTTGTTAATAAAGAAGCCACCGAATCCACCGGACGCTCTCTGGAAATGGAGTGATGGAAAGTAAAAGAAGCTCCCTATCTGATCCTTGACTTGAAACTGGTAAGTCCAGTTCCACTTGGGAGGAATTGGACAATTTGTTCCTAGAACTCCATCTTGCCATGAACTTCGCCGCTGTTGAATTCCAGACCTATTACCACACAAATCAATCTTTCCATTCTCAAACTAGCTCTACAATCATAAATCAACATAAAATGCCACAGAGTTGACTAAATTTATAATCAAACAATACCAATGCATGAGAAGGCTCTCATCCAGCTTGTTCCTCACATTGACAACTACATTGTTGTTAGTAGTTACATTGATAGTAGGACCAGGAAACTTCCCATTTATTGCAATAACCTGCAAAACCCAAGGAAGAAATAAATAAATTGAAAAAGAAAAAAAAAACTAGAAAGAAATGAAGATTGAGTCTTCCTTGAGTTGCTCTCAGCTCAATTCCATCAATGTACTCTGTTTCTCCAAAACAAATCAGCATATAAAGAAGATCTAGAGCTAAAAACCCAAACATTCTTAAAATCCAACACTAACCCATCTCCCACGCAGCTAAGGAGAGAATCCAGAACAAGAAAAACAACAACATAGCATAAAAAATTGCGAAGTGAAAGAAGATGGAAGGAAAACAGACCTGTTGAGGGACTCCCAGAGGAGAGGCAGTGATGTAAGAGACTTCAAAATTAAAGAAAGCAAACGGATCTGCAGCCGAGGAGAGGGTCACAAACAGAGCAATGGGGAGGAGAAAGAGCGATAGGTAAGGAAACGGAGCCATTCCACAGAATCTTTGGTGGGTGATGAAAGACTTGACTGGGGAAACACCTATGTTTTACATTATCTGGGGAGAAGAGCTTCGAGAAATGGAAGACAGTGGAAAGAAAGAGAGAGAGGAAGAAAAGAGAAGAGGAAAAGGAATCGAAAACGGCTATATTTGTTCACTGCTTTTGATAGTGGAAGATTGCAGAGGTTTGCAGTGGTTTTAGCTATAAGAAGAGGAGAGCGTGAAAGACAGAGCAATTGCGTTGGCTATTGTTTTTCCTTTTTTTTCTTTCAATTATGGTGCCTTGGTTCTGTCGGTAACCGGTCGCCTCCCAAAACCCCCAACCCCCGTTCGAACCAACAGACTGGAAAAGAGGCCCAGAATTGGAGAGAGAAACCCAGTTGTCGGTAAACACATATTTACGCGCGCGTGTAACCAATGCGTTTTATCATTTATTTTGTATTTAATTAACTCATATATATATATATATATGGCCATTATGTGGCATGGCATGGGCATTAAATCAAATCCATTGGAAGGGAAACAAAATAATATAAATAAAATAAAGAGCGGAGGAAAGGGGAGATGACAACGTATGTAAATAAAATATTGGAACAACGTTTAAATCTGTCTAAGAGCGGCACGTGATTGCCAGCCATGCAGCATTTTGTTTTGGGTCAAGAAATGTGGGCCCTACCATAAATGTCAAGGGGTGTGGGCCCTACCATAAATGTCAAGGGGTGTGGGCCCCCTTTGGGATTCAAGATTCCAAACTCACTGTTTGGTTTACTAATATAGTTTCTTGTTGTTAATTAAACCTCGTACCATTTTTTAAAAAATTACAGGTCAGATGGAGATAATTAAATAAAACCAACTCATTATTACATTTATTATTTATAGAATTCATTTTTAAAAAACAAATAACAAAAAATAAACTAATTATAAAAGGGAAGTTTATTTGATTTTTAAAAATTAATGCAAATTGTTTAACAGACGGCCCAATAAATAATGGGCCTAAAGTTCTGGAGTTGAAAAGCCCATATATGCGATCCACATTTTGTTTGTAAACTAAACACATTGATTTTTTTTTTTTATAAAAAAAACCGTCATAAACATTTTTTAAAAGTTTAAAATCCATCCTTTTTTTTCCTCTAAAACATAATCTTGTAATCCTTAATTACGATTCTCTTTCGATAGTATGATATTGTCCACTTTGAGCATAAACTCTCGTGACTTTGATTTTAGTTTCTCTAAAAGACTTCATACCAATAGAAATAATATTCCTCACTTATAAATCTATAATCAAACCCTTATTTAGTCGATGTAGGACTCTTCTCCCAACAATCATCCCCTAACAAGTCGGCAAACTTGCAGAAAAGTGCAAACAGATTGACTCGAAAGTGAAGCAGCAGCTCCAGTCATTTGGGACAATTTGTTCAAAACAAAAATCTGAAACCAAAGCTTATAAAAACATCTTATTCTAACATTAAGTGGTACTGGAAAAGCAAGGAGTTGCAGAACAGAGTTATTAGAGGATTCTCAGACACAACCAACCATCCCCCTCTTTATTCATGAAAAGCCAACATTCTCCAGATAGTAAACTCCAGCTTCATACATTTGGGGGTGGCCAAATCTTCCCAAAAAGTTCCTCAACTCTCTTGGTTTGATCAGCATACCCTTCCACTCCAGTAGCCAGTAGCTTCAAAGCTGCAGGCCCCATTCCTGAAGCAACGCTTAATTGGTCCCACTTTTTAACCTGAAAATGTTGATTAATATAATTAGCAACTGATACCTTAAGATCAAATACCATTGTTTTAGATTTCTACGTCTTCCAATGACATTTCTTCACAATTTCTCGACATTCATATTATAAAACTTTTAACGTGCGAGTAGAATAGGAGAAGTTCAAGGAAAGAAAGTGGACCTCTTCGTCGCTGAAAACGTAATTAGCTGCGGATTGCGGGGACAGCTTCCTAATGAACGAGAACTTATCGTCTGGAACGGTAACTGATTCTTTAAGGGACTGTAATACCTTCAATGGAGCAATTATGTAATCCACGCTGAAGGGAAAAAGAAATGGGTTTGTTAGTAGAAGTGCTTAGAGAAGTACCATGATTTCATGAATTTTTCGGTAGAAGAAAGATGAGTTCATATGATTTACCCCAGAAGACTGAACAGATCTTGCTTATTCCTAACAGCTGCTGCCATCAATTTTGATTTGTATCCATATTTGTGAATGTAGTTGTAAGCCTTTGTCACCTGCAATAATGAATACACCATTATGTAAGTATTCTGAGTCCATTCCTGTTTATGTGAACATCATTATCCAAAGTCAGCTAACCAAAGCCAACCCAGGATCCTCTCCTCTTTTGAGAGCAGCTTCGATTTCGGGATCACCAGAGTGATTGCGAGCCCAATCCTGAAGCGCAGTTAAGTACATCAGAAAGGTCAAAAGACAGCAAGATAGTGTTCTGATTGATACTATAAAGTGGTAAAACAATTACACGTAGGCGACCAACGAAAATCTGAATGACAGAGGCACCAGCTTGAGCTGCAGCTGCTGCTTGAGCAAAACTATACAAACATGGAGAGGCCGTCAACAAAATGTAAGGGTCAAAATTAAATGCAGCAAGAATGATAGGCACGTTTTAATTGAGACCTACAAATCTTCTTGTTTTTGTTTCATCTAATTATCTTGCCCAACATCGGTTTGGGAGCAGATAATGTAATAGCCCAAGCCCACCGCTAACATGCATCGTCTTCTTTGGGCTTTTCCTTTCGGACTTCCCTCAAGGTTTTTAAAACACGTCTGCTAGCGAGAGGTTTCTACACTCTTATAAAGAATGTTTCGTTCTCCTCCCCAATAACTTCACTATACAAACACTTCCCCACAGCATTTAGATCACAAGGAAATCTAATCCAGGATAAACGAACAACAGAGGTAAAACTAATCAATATGCATAGAGGCTTCAGATTTTTTAAATTCAATGAGATTAACGTACCTGTAGACAAAAGTCAAATGTGTTTGTATTCCCTCAGATTCCAACAATCTTGAGGCCTCGATTCCCTATGATATCGAAACCATTGGTTTGCAGATCAGTATATTTACCTCAAAGTCGAATTCTCACAATCAATATTACGGTCTGTTCAGTTCAAAAGTCAGAATTCACCTGCCAAGTTGATGGAATTTTGAACAGCAGCCGCTCAGCAGGAACATTAATTTCATTGTACAATTTCAAAAGGTCATGCACCTTTGGTCCACAAACAAAAGAACCTATAAGATTTATATGTACAAGGGCCAAACATCCAACATCCCAGTAGACTAGGCATATTTGAAGCTATCTGAGACTTAAACAAGGATAAACCTTTCTGATAATGCCATGTGTGTCATAAGCAACACGTGCATCCACCTCGGTTGAAACACGTCCAGGAACTAGTTTTACCAAATCACCACCAACGTTTACTAGAGCCTGCAAATCAAGACCCAACGTACCATTTGTTGATCTCCACAAAATAGCAAATAATCTCCAACAAGTAAGGTAAAAAGAAACAAGCGACCTTGTTAAACATGCAGGAATATTTCAATTCAGGGTTGTCTATCCCAAAACATTCAGAATCCGCCAATGCCATATCAACCGCATTCTGTAGTATATCACAAACTTCCAAAATGACACACAATAAACAGACTAAATAGGGAGCCTTTGTTTAAATTCTGTAATTATTATCTAAGACAAAGAAAAGAATGCTGAATGGGTACTCTAAATATGGTATCAGGAAGGCCACATATGCCCAGAAGGAGAGAAGAGCTGACGGTAGCAGCAGTAGGAGGAAACCTGCACTTCCAAAGAGAAACATAACTCACTGATCCAACGAAGCTACACAAAATGAAAAATGATAAGGCTTATCAAGAACGATAGTAGTTCATTTACTTCTCGAAATCATCGAAAACGACGGTGTCAGGAACGATCTCACTGAAGCTAGAAACAGCATCCAGCTCAGTTCTCAAACCTGAAAACAAGCAGGCAAGAAGCTAAATGCAGTGCGGGCGTTGTTGAGCTCAAATCACACAAAAGAGGGTAAAAGGAGAGAATCGAACCAGTGTCGAGTGACGAAGAGAAGCCGGCGGAAGCACAAATTAGAGAAAGAGATCTACGAGAATGGGAAATTAGATTGGAGGGTCTGAATCCAACTGAGAACGCCAATCTTTTCTGATAACAACAATTGAAGCTTTCAATCAGAGCTATGGAACACAGAATTCACGATTGCAAACGAAAGTCAAAAGGGGAGATACCTGAAGAGAGGAAGAAGACGACGGCAACGGCGAAAGGGTTGCAGACGGCGGAGATTGCAAAGAGAGAGACATTTTGGATTTGCGATTGAGTGAGTGAAACAAAGACCGTTATTTCAGATCAAGAGCTAGTACAGCGAGTACTACACCCGGATAATTTAAGATTAAATCCTTAATTTAATTTTTATAGTTTAAAACAAATCATTCGCTAATTACAAGCTCACTCTAATTCTAAAAATTAATTTTATCTAATTACAATGACTAATTCTTAAGATTTAAAAATTATAAAAACTAAGATTTTATTTTATTAGCGCGTTGAGATATCTTATGATCATTCATTTTTATAGCAACAGAAATAGCACCAAATTATTAATGAAAGTTCAGTTCTTTGTGCTCCAAATCTACACTAGTGTTGTTATTGTCATTGCAGCATATCTCAAAATCTGCAAGAACATATGTTTTTGAGCTTCAACCCCATCTAATAATTGCAGACGCCCAGGTTAGACCAGCTCCGAAACCTGAAGCTGCAATCAAGTGTCCTGCCTCCACCCTCCCACTCCGAACAGCTTCGTCCAGTGCCAATGGAATGGAGGCTGCGCTCGTGTTACCGTAGTTAGCCACATTCGATATCACACGCTCCGATGGAAACTCTAAACGTGTTGCGACTGCGTCGATGATCCTTTGGTTTGCCTGCATATTTATAAATCAGCAGCATTGTAGAAATCTTGGAAAAGAGATGGATGATAAGAAATAGATACCTGATGTAACAACAACCAATCAATGTTTGATGAACTGAGACGAGATTTTTGAAGAGCAGCCTCGATCGACTGTGGCACGGTGCGAACAGCAAATCGAAATACCTCTTTGCCATTCATCTGCAAACAAGAATACGTGACGTTTTTCGGAGGAAAACCGATCAGGGAGACGTTAGAACCCAATTTTTGATCCATTTCTTTTTCCTTGATCCCAGCATTCAAATGCCTGTTCCACATTTACGTTTCTAATCATATGGAATGATGAAATGGAATAAGGAAGAATTATGAGAAGCACACCTTCGGCCATCCCCATCACTATGCAAGTCAAAACCAAATAAACCATCCTCCTCAACATCACATGCCTGAAACCAAATCAATTATGAAATGAATTCTTAAGCTTGCAGCTGTATACCGTTCCGAGTATCGAACTTTTACCTGCAATAGTACAGCACCAGCACCGTCTCCGAAAAGAATACAGGACGATCTATCAGACCAGTCGACGTAACGAGAAATAGCATCAGCACCAATGACAAGAACATTAGAAAATCCACCTCCTGCAGTTTAAGGTAGTATAGTATTTTATAATGCAAGGCAAAATATGATCCAAGCAACAAGACCAAATCAGGATTCTTTACCCCTTATGTGACAAGCAGCTGATACTAAACCCAGTAGAAATCCACTACATGCAGCTGTTATATCATACGATAGAGGATGTCTTTTACAACCAAGAGCCTTTTGGATCTGGGATGCAGTAATGCATAATTAGATAAGCATGACGTTCCGATAAATCCAGTAATATCGCTTGTAACACCCCAACCCCACCGCTACCAGATATTGTCTTCTTTGGACTTTTTCTTTTGATTTGTAATCGAAACAGCTGCAGGTTAGGAGATACAAAACGAACCAGCCAATGAAACTCTTGACTGGTTCATATGATCTATCTCCTCTGCTTCATATCTATTATTAATTTAATATTGGGATAAATGATGTACTGAACCTATACCTGTGAAGCAGAACCAAAAAGATCCTCTGGTGTTGAAGTGCACATTAATATCAAGTCTACATCATCAGGATCAACCTGAGCCATTTGTAGAGCTCCCCTTGCTGCCTCTGCTGCCAAACCTATCAGGCTATCTTTTCCTGTGAAACGAACGAGGAAAGCTTTAAATCTTTGAAAATAGAAAGCCATGAAGCTGTTGAGTAAGCACATGGAAGGCTACTTAGAAAATTAGGACCCCATAAAGAAGAATCCCTATTACCCAACGGTACCGATACGCCCGAAAGTCGAGAGGGCTTGATCATATACAAAGAAATCGTATAACGAAGGGAAAATAACTGCTAGTAAAATCCATATACCAAGTTCGAGAGTAAGCTAAATGAATTTTTACCAATGATCGACCAAAATATTCAAGAACGATAGCTAGAGTCCAAAAAGTAAATGAACAAAGTCATGTAAATGTTGGTAAGTTGTTCATTTGATTGCACACACCTGCAATCACCCGTCGATTGCGAATCCCAGTACGAGCAGATATCCATTCATCATTTGTGTCAACCCATTTGGCAAGATCATCGTTTGAAATCTGTAAACTTGGAACACCGGAGCCACACCCAAGTAGCTTACACCCTCTACTGACAAGCCTGTAAAATAACATGTTTTTCTTTTTAGTGCCACGGTCTGAATCGCCATAAGATTATCTACACCATTTTCAACTAACTGAAAGTCCCCTTCCAATTAAATACACAAAATATCAAATGAAGCCCATCTATAACCTTTCTTTAGCCAATCCATTAATGTATTAAGCTCCAGTAACAAGTCCTAGACAATGCAGGCAATCTCAGAACCACATAAAGATTGAAGATGAAAAATGAGAAACAGATGTACCTGGGCATCCGAGATTGAGAAGGAGAAGCTCCAGAAGAAACCTTCTCTGCCCAAGTGGAAGTAGAGCAGAATATTACCTTAGCTACACCATCATATGATCTAAACCCACATCCAAAATTGCCCCCTAAGAACGAATGCCTCATCCTTAGACTCGGAGCTGATGTTGCAAAAAGCTCTGATGTATTAATCATTTCACTAAACACTCCAAACCCACAAGAAAAAAACAGAGAGAGACTTGCAAGAACTCAAAGAAAATGAAGAACGAGAAGAAAACAGCATACAGAACCCAATAGCAGAGACTACACTGTCACAAATGTGCAACTGAAAATGGAAGGAACAATCATGCGTTTCTATCCCCCACCGTCCGAACGCATATTTAATTAATTCTAACTCTCCTAACGCATATTTAATTAATTCGAACTCTCCTAACGCATATTTAATTAATTCTAACTCTACTACTAATGCATATTAACGCATATTTAATTAATTCTAACCCCACTAATGCATAATTAATTAATTCAACAACTTTCAATCCCATTAATTAATTCAACCGCTCCCCATCTAAATCACTCTTAGAAAAATAATGTTCATTAAAGTAACTCCCTACGTGAGCTACCGGTCCACCCCAACTTAATTATGTAGGAAATATATTAATCAATTAGTAAATTAAATTTTTGTTATATATTATTGTATTTTCAAAAATCGTTTTTTTATTTCAAGATTAGTTAAATTAAATTTGGGTTGTATAGGATTGTATTTTCGAAAATCTTTCCAATATTGTTTTTTTATTTGAAGATCAATTAAATTAAAATTTGGTTGTATATTATTGTATTTTCGAAAATCTTTTGCTGTTTTTTTATTAATTTTTGGTGTATATTATTGTATTTTCGAAAATCTTTCAAATATTGCTACCTTCTTTATTTAAAGATGAGTTAAATTAAATTTTTGTGGTATTATTGTATTTTCGAAAATCTTTCTTGTTAATTTTTTTTATGTAAAGATTAGTTAAATTAATTGTTAATTTTTTTTATGTAAAAATTAGTTAAATTGATTTTTTTTGTGGTATATTATTGTATTTTTGATATTTTCGAAAATCTTTCCAATATTGCTGGTTTTTTTTTATTTAAAGATTAGTTAAATTAAATTTTTGATATATATTATTATTTTCAAAAATCTTTCAAATATTGATGCTTTTTTTATTTAAAGATTAGTTAGAAGTGAAACACATAAATTCACCTCTTAACGCATAATTAATTCCACAACTCTCCATCTAAATCACTCTTAAAACTTAATGTTCATCACGTAACTCACACGTGGGATTTGAAAGTCCACCCAAAACGTTAGTTATTTGTTTCAATTACTAATTCCATATTAACTAAGTAAATTAAATTTTTGTTGTATATTATGTATTTTTGAAAATCTTTCAAATTACTATTTTTTTTATTTAAAGATCACTCAAAAAGGAAAACCCATAAATTAATTCTCATAACACATAATTAATTCCAAAGCTTTCAATCAAAATCACTTTTAAAACCTTTATATTCATTAAGTAACTCCCATTTTCTTTTGGATTTGTAGGTCCTTGTTAGTTATTTGTTTAAGTTATTAATTCATAGGAAAGATATTAACCTAAGTAAATTAAATTTTTGTTGTATATTATTATATTTTTGATATTTGTTTAAATATTGTTTTTTTTAATTTAAATATTAGTTAAATTAAATTTTTGTGGTATATTATTGTATTTTCAAAACGGCTGTTTTTGTAGGTAAAGATTAATTAAATTAAATTTTTGTGGTATATTAGTGTATGTTCGAAAATCTTTTCAATATTGCTGCTTTTTTATTTAAAGATTAGTTAAATTAAATTTTTGTTGTATATTATTGTATTTTCGAAAATCTTTCAAATATTGCTGCTTTTTCTTTTATGTAAATATCAGTTTAATTAAATTTTTGGTATATATGATTGTATTTTTGAAAATCTTTCAAATATTGCTCTTTTGCATAATTAATTTCACAGCTTTCCATCTAAATCACTTTTAAAATCTTAATGTTTATCACGTAACCCTAATATTTCTTTTTGGGATTCGCAGGTCGACCGAACCTTAGTTATTTGTTTCAGTTATTAATTCCAAAAAATATTAACCAATTAGTAAATTAAATTTTTGTTGTATATTATTATATTTTCAATTTTTTTTTTAAATATTACTCTTTTTATTTAAAGATTAGTTAAATTAAATTATTATCGTATATTATTGTATTTTCGAAAATCTTTCAAATATTGCTGTTTTTTATTTAAAGATTAGTTAAATTAAATTTTTGTTATATATTAGTGTATTTTTCAAAATCTTTCCGGTGCTTTTTTATTTAAAGATTAGTTAAATTAAATTTTTGTTGTATAGTTTGTATTTTTGAAAATTTGCTTTTCTAGGTAAAGATTAGTTAAATTAAATTTTTGTGGTATATTAGTGTATTTTTGAAAATCTTTCCAATATTGCTGCTTTTTTATTTAAGGATTAATTAAATTAAATTTTTGTGGTATATTATTGTATTTTCGAAAATCTTTACGGCTGCTTTTTTTATTTAAGGATTAGTTAAATTAAATTTTGTTGTATATTATTATATTTTCGAGAATCTTTCCAATATTGCTCCTTTTTTTTATTTAAAGCTTAATTAAATAAATTTTTATTATATATTATTGTATTTTCGAAAATCTTTATAATATTACTGGTTTCTTTATTTAAAAATTAGTTTAATTAAATTTTTGTCGTATATTATTGTATTTTCGAAAATCTTTGCTCTTTCTTTATTTAAAAATGAGTTAAGTTAAAATTTTGTTGTATATTATTGTATTTTCCTATTTTTTTTAGGTAAAGATTAGTTAAATTAAATTTTTTGTGGTATATTATTGTATTTTCGAATTTTTTTTTAATATTGCTGCTTTTTTTATTTAAAGATTAGTTATATTATATTTTTGTGGTATATTATTGTATTTTCAACGAAACCGTCTCTGCCCAGCGGAAGTAGAGCAGAATATTACCTTATTAGCTACACAACCATATGATCCAAACCCACATCGAAAATTGCGCCCTAAGAATGAATGCCTTGTCCTTAGACTCATAGCTGATGTCGTAAAAAGCCCTGATGTATTGACCATTTCATTAAACACTCGAAACCCACAAGAAAAAATCAGAGAAAGACTTGGAAAAGCTACAAGAACTCAAAGAAAATGAAGAACGGGAAGAAAACAACATACATAACCCAATAGCGAAAACTCCAATCTGAAAATGGAAGGAACAATCATGCGTTGCGATCTCCCACCAAGCTTGATTTTTCATTTATAAATGTCTAGCAGTAGCTTAGCGAAAAAGTGAAACGCATAAATTTACCTCTCCTAACTCATAATTTATTAATTCTACCTCTCCTAACGCAAAATTAATTAATTTCACACCTTCCTATCTAAATCACTCTTCAGTATTTTCGAAAATGTTGTTTCTTTTATTTAAAGATTAAGTTAAATTAAATTTTTGTTGTGTATTATTGTATTTTCGAAAAATTTTCAAATATTTATGCTTTTTTTATTTAAAGATTAGTTAAATTAAATTTTTATGATATATTATTGTATTTTCAAAAATCTTTTTATTGATGCTTTTTTTTATTTAAAGATTAGTTAAATTAAATTTTGTTGCATATTATTGCATTTTCGAAAATCTTCCCACTATTGCTGCTTTTATTTTATTTTATTTAAAGATTAGTTAAATTAAATTTTGTATTTTCGAAAATCTTTCTAATATTGTTGCTTTTTTATTTAAAGATGAGTTAAATTAAATTTTTGTTGTATATCCTTGTATTTTCGAAAATCTTTCCAATATTGTTGATTTTTTTATTTAAAGATTATTTAATTTTATTTGTGTAGTATATTATTGTATTTTTTAAAATCTTTTTAAATTAAATTTTTGTTGTATATTATTGTATTTTCAAAAAATTTTCAAATATTGCTACTTTCTTTTATTTAAAGATTAATTAAATTAAATTTTTGTTGTATTTTATTGTATTTTCGAACATCTCTCAAATATTGCTACTTTCTTTTATTTAAAGATTAATTAAATTAAATTTTTGTTATATATTATTTTATTTTCGAATGAAATATTTCTAATTTTTTTATTTAAAGATTAGTTAAATTAAATTTTTGTTATATATTATTGTATTTTCGAAAATCTTTCTAAATATTTTTAATTTTTTTATGTAAAGATTAGTTAATTAAATTTTGATGGTATATTATTGTATTTTCAAAAAAATTTCGAATATTGCTGTTTTTTTATTTATTTAAGGATTAGTTAAATTTAATTTTTATTTTATATTATTGTATTTAATTTTTGTTTTATATTATTGTACTTAAATCTTTCCAATATGGCTGCCTTTTATAAGTTAAAGATTAGCTAAATTTAATTTTTATGGTATATTATTGTATTTTCGAAAATCTTGATGAGTTAAATTAAATTTTTGTTGTATATTATTGTATTTTTAAAAATCTTTCAAATATAGCTGCTTTTTTAGTTATAGATGAGTTAAATTAAATTTGGTATATTATTGTATTTTTTAAAATCTTTCCTATATTACTGTTTTTTTAATTTAAAAATGAGTTAAATTAAATTTTTATTATATATTATTGTATTTTTGAAAATCTAAATTTTTGTGGTATATTATTATATTTTCAAAAAAATTTCAAATACTGCTTTTTTTTTTTTTATTTAAAGATTAGTTAAAGAGTGAAACGCATAAATTTACCTCTCTTAATGCATAATTAATTCCACGGCTTCCAATCTAAATCACTTTTAAAACTCATGTTTGTCACGTAACTCCTATTTACTTTCGAGATTTGCAGGTCCACTTACTAATTTAATAATTTCATAGCAAAGATATTTACCCATGGAATATTATTGTATTTTCGAAAATCTTTGTTTTTTTTTTATTTAAAGATTAGTTAAATTAAATTTTTGTTGTATATTATTATATTTTTAAAAATATTTATGTTTTTTTTATTTATAGATTAGTTAAATTAAATTTTTGTTGTATATTATTGTATTTTCGAAAATCTTTTCAATATTGCAGCTTTTTTTAATTTAGTGATTAGTTAAATTAAAATTTTGTTATATATTATTGTATTTTCGAAAATTTTTCACGTTGTTTTTTTATTTATTTAAATATTAGTTAAATTAAATTTTTGTTTTATATTATTATATTTTCAACCAATTTTCAAATATTGCTTTTTCTATGTAAATATTAGTTAAATTAAATTTTTGTTGTATATTATTGTATGTTCGAAAATCTTTCCAATATTGTTATTTTTTTATTTAAGAATTAGTTAAATTAAATTTTTGTCTTATATTATTGTATTTTCGAAAATCTTCCCAATATTGCTGTTTTTTTATTTAAAGATTAGTCAAATTAAATTTTTGTCGTATATTATTGTATTTTCGAAAATTTTTCCAATATTGTTGCTCTTTTTTTATTTAAAGATTAGTTAAATTAAATTTTTGTGTTATATTATTGTATTTTCGAAAATCTTTAAATATTGTTGTTTTTTAGTTAAAGATTAGTTAAATTAAATTTTTGTAGTATATTATTGTATTTTTGAAAATCTTTCCAATATTGGTGCTTGTTTGTTTTTTTATTTAAAGATTAGTTAAATTAGAATAAAGCACGTTATAAATGTATATATTAAATACATACATTTATTAAATTATAAACCTAATCACTAGAGTTATTAGAGTTAAATGCACCTGAAAAATGAAGGTTGATATGGTCATCCGGATCAACCTGAGCCATTTGTAGAGCTCCCCTTGCTGCCAAACCTATCAGGCTATCTTTTCCTGTGAAACGAACGAGGAAAGCTTTAAATCTTTGAAAATAGAAAGCCATGAAGCTGTTGAGTAAGCACATGGAAGGCTACTTAGAAAATTAGGACCCCAAAAAGAAGAATCCCTATTACCCAACGGTACCGATACGCCCGAAAGTCGAGAGGGCTTGATCATATACAAAGAAATCGTATAATGAAGGGAAAATAACTGCTAGTAAAATCCATATAGCAAGTTCGAGAGTAAGCTAAATGAATTTTTACCAATGATCGACCAAAATATTCAAGAACGATAGCTAGAGTCCAAAAAGTAAATGAACAAAGTCATGTAAATGTTGGTAAGTTGTTCAGTTGATTGCACACACCTGCAATCACCCGTCGATTGCGAATCCCAGTACGAGCAGATATCCATTCATCATTTGTGTCAACCCATTTGGCAAGATCATCGTTTGAAATCTGTAAACTTGGAACACCGGAGCCACACCCAAGTAGCTTACACCCTCTACTGACAAGCCTGTAAAATAACATGTTTTTCTTTTTAGTGCCACGGTCTGAATCGCCATAAGATTATCTACACCATTTTCAACTAACTGAAAGTCCCCTTCCAATTAAATACACAAAATATCAAATGAAGCCCATCTATAACCTTTCTTTAGCCAATCCATTAATGTATTAAGCTCCAGTAACAAGTCCTAGACAATGCAGGCAATCTCAGAACCACATAAAGATTGAAGATGAAAAATGAGAAACAGATGTACCTGGGCATCCGAGATTGAGAAGGAGAAGCTCCAGAAGAAACCTTCTCTGCCCAAGTGGAAGTAGAGCAGAATATTACCTTAGCTACACCATCATATGATCTAAACCCACATCCAAAATTGCCCCCTAAGAACGAATGCCTCATCCTTAGACTCGGAGCTGATGTTGCAAAAAGCTCTGATGTATTAACCATTTCACTAAACACTCCAAACCCACAAGAAAAAAACAGAGAGAGACTTGCAAGAACTCAAAGAAAATGAAGATCGAGAAGAGAACAGCATAGAGAACCCAATAGCAGAGATTACAATGTCAGCAATGTGAAACTGAAAATGGAAGGAACAATAATCATGCGTTTCTAACGCTAGGTTAGCGGAAAAAATTCAACTCTAACGCATAATTAATTAATTCTAACTCTATTAATGCATAATTAATTAATTCAACAATAACTCTATTAATGCATAATTAATTAATTCAACAACTTCCAATTTCATTAATTAATTCAACCGCTCCCAATCTAAATCACTCTTACAATAATAATGTTATAATTCTCATTTCTTTATGTGAGTTACCGGTCCACCCAACTTAGTTATTTGTTTCCGTTACTCATTTCATAGGAAATTTATTAATCAATTAGTAAATTAAATTTTTGTCATATATTATTGTATTTTCGAAAATCTTGCTTTTTTTTTTATTTAAAGATTTAAATTAAATTTGGGTCGTATAGGATTGTATTTTCAAAAATCTTTCAATGGGTTGTATAGGATTGTATTTTCAAAAATCTTTCAAATATTGTTTTTTTATTTGAAAATCAATTAAATTAAATTTTTGTGGTATATTATTGTATTTTCGAAAATCTTTCAGTTTTTTTATTTAAAAATCAATTAAATTAAATTTTTAGTGTATATTATTGTATTGTCGAAAATTTTTCAAATATTGCTACTTTTTTTATTTAAAGATCAGTTAAATTAAATTTTTTTGGTATATTATTGTATTTTCGAAAATCTTTCTGGTTAGTTTTTTATGTAAAGATAGTAAAATTAATTTTTTTTTGTTGTATATTATTGTATTTTCAATATTTTCGAAAATCTTTCCAATATTGCTATTTTTTTATTAAAAAATTAGTTAATTAAATTTTTGTTATATATTATTGTATTTTCGAAAATCTTTCAAATATTGATGTTTTTTTTTATTTAAAGATTAGTTACGAGTGAAACACATAAATTCACATCTCTAACGCATAATTAATTCCACAACTTCCAATCTAAATCACTCTTAAAACCTAAGGTTCATCACGTAACTCCCATTTTCTTGTGCAATTTGCAGGTCCACCCCAAACGTTATTATTTGTTTCAATTACTAATTCCATATTAACCATGTAAATTAAATTTTTATTGTATATTACTATATTTTCAAAAATCTTTCAAATTGCTGTTTTTTTTATTCAAAGATCACTCAACAAGTAAAACGCATAAATTAACTCTCATAACACATCATTAATTCCATAGCTTTCCATCAAAATCACTCTTAAAACCCTAATGTTTATTAAGTAACTCCCATTTCCTTTTGGATTTGTAGGTCCAGTTAGTTATTTGTTTAAGTTATTAATTCGATATTAACCAAGTAAATTAAATTTTTGTTCTATATTATTATATTTTCGATATTTTTTTTAAATATTGCTGTTTTTTTATTTAAAGATTAGTTAAATTAAATTTTTGTGGTATATTATTATATTTTCAAAAATCTTTCAAAAATTGTTTTTGTATGTAAAGATTAATTAAATTAAATTTTTGTTATATATTAGTGTATGTTCGAAAATCTTTTCAATATTGCTGTTTTTTATTTAAAGATTAGTTAAATTAAATTTTTATTGTATATTATTGTATTTTCGAAAATCTTTCAAATATTGCGCTTTTTCTTTTATGTAAATATCAGTTAAATTAATTTTTTGTTATATATGATTGTATTTTTGAAAATCTTCCAAATATTGATGCTTTTTTATATTTAAAGATTAATCAAAAAGTGAAACGCATAAATATACCTCGCATAATTAATTCTACACCTTTCAATCTAAATCACTTTTAAAACACTAACCTAATCCTAACCTAAGGTTCTAAATCAACTCTTCCTTTTGGGATTTGCAGTTCGACCCAACATTAGTTATTTGTTTGAGTTGTTAATTCATATGAAAAATATTAACTAATTAATAAATTAAATTTTTGTTGTATATTATTGTATTTTCGATTTTTTTTTTAAAATATTACTGCTTTTTATTTAAAGATTAGTTAAATTAAATTATTATTGTATATTATTGTATTTTCGAAAATCTTTCAAATATTGCTTTTTTATTTAAAGATTAGTTAAATTAAATTTTTGTTATATATTAGTGTAATTTTGAAAATCTTTCCATCATTTAAAGATTAGTTAAATTAAATTTTTGTTGTATAGTTTGTATTTTCGAAAATATTTCAAATATTACTGCTTTTTTTAATGTAAAGATTAGTTAAATTAAATTTTTGTTGTATATTATTGTATTTTTGAAAATCTTTCCAATATATAATTTAATTTTTTTTTTTTTTTTTTTTTTTTTTTTTTTTTTTTTTTTTTTTTTTTTTTTTTTTTT